TTTTTTTTTAAATATTTAGGCATGTGATCATTTTCCTTAATAAGGCAATAGTGGTTTTTTTAAATCGATGGAAAATTTTGTTTTCATTTTAATAACATACCTATTGATTTATCAGTTTTGTTAGTAATAATTTCTTTACTATTTAGTGCGACATACTTTTATCGAAGCATGTCAACACATTCCTGTTCACGTGTACAGTACAGCTACGCTTTGTAGGTAAGACACTATTTTTGATGAAATTTATGAATTGTTTTACCCTCCAACTGGCAATGGTAATTATATCAAGTGCTTAAACACCAACAAATCATGCCGAAATATAAAATATGTGGTCTGTTTACAATAATCTATTCTTAGACACGGGATTCCGATATTGCTACCTGTATAAAAATACCTGAGGACGCGTCATAACAGTGCACGGTTGGTGCGCGCACTAGCGTAACATAGCTTTGGGGAAATAGGCATAGCAACCCGCCATATCTCTTTTAGTGACCATTCATGAAATTACGTTTTTTTCTCAGTTCTCTGAAGCATTTAACAAAAAATGACAAAGTTAAGACTGAGACATGATGGGAAGGTGGTTGTCAACATTGATGAATACTTCAGGTTTTATCTGCAAAGAAAAACATTGTGGTCAATATACCTAAATTGTAAGAAGTAGCTATCTTGATGTTTCAAATGTCTTCTAAGTGTATTGGTATATGCTAATGCTATGCATGAAAATTGCTGTTTTCTTTCTGAACGGAAATGAGAGGTACGCTAAAGTGATTGAATGAATTACTTGTATATGTATAATACAGGAAAGCACATGTACAAAGGCCTGAATGACGTGTGTTTGTTGAGTATATGAAGGATGGATTTACAGATCTGGAAAGTCTGAGTGGATCTTTCTTTAAATGTTAACCAGCCTCTTGCTGTAGTCATGGCATGCCTGCTTGTTAGTGTTCTCGGCTCTGTGTCACCAAGGGATGAAGCTTGATTGCTGGCTAAGTGAGGGTATAACGCATTGTCTGCTAAGTAGAATTTAAAATAGGTGAGCCAGCACAGATAAACAGTGATGATGTTCAATCTTGTGCCATCAAGGTTATTTCTAGCTTGATCTTGTGCAGCAGATTGTATATGAAAGCATCTATGATCAAATAAATGTTGGGTATGTATTGATGAATATGTCATTAACTCGATTTGAAAGACAATCAAGAGCTGCTGAATGTTTCTTGTGAAGGATAGTTTGAAGAAACTGAAAACAAATACTCCAAAATGAAACATATTGGAGACATCATTGTGCATTTGTTAAAATAACTTTGGTATAACAAACCTTTTACTGTTCAAGCATTGATTAATAAAAAAAAAATACAAGTTAATTTTTTAAAAGATTTTTCTGTCGCAAGCATTTGTTTTTTGCAGAAAGATGGAATGGTCAGGTAAACACTTATAGATGTTTTATTGAGAAGCATTGCAGCTCAATAGAAATTTGAGCTCTGTATGTCCTGAAAGATTTGTTGGACGGATGAAAAACTTTTGACGTTAGCATATCCTATCGATTATAGCATCAAAGAGCTATCCTGATGAAGTAGCACTTATACTATCATTTCACTATGAACAAATGACAAAAAATAAACGATAGTTGTTTTGATCATCGAAGATTATTGATTAAACCTTCATAAAAGCTTCCGTTTTAAGATTCTTTAAGAAAGAGATATTATTCTTTTTCTTTGAATCCTTATATATAAGCTGTTTGCCTGATACAACAGCTGTTGTTACACATGAATTGCGCAGCATAAATGAGAAATTTCATTTGTGACTTTTGGGTACATGATATATGGAGGAGGAGGCGTGAAACATGTAATCTCAAATGTATTCATTATTTCATAGAATGTCGGAAAAAATAAACTTGGTACGTTTTTATCACTGATCTTTATGGGATAAATGACTTTTTATATTAAAGGTGTAAATTATGTTAAATAAAAAAACATAACGTATATCACATTGATTTTCTCTTGTATAGTGACTAAATATGTAATGATATGTATAATTTTCTGTAACACAATTAATGCTTGAAGTGTTTTGTTGTTATTCAGGGAGACGGAGGCCGTAGCTTGAAACTACTTCACTGTCACTGTACAATCTAGTATTAGTATAGGTAGTTAGTATATTTGCACAAATATTTCACAAAATGCACTTAGAAATAATTGTAGCACTCGCGTGTTGTTGATATTTATGTTAATTCCGTGTATCCAAGGTGAGGTTTCTACTTTGCAATCTTCAAGGTACAAGGAATCATAGCTCTAGCCCGGGATTAGTTTATTTGAAAAATATCTTAAATTTTCATTTTAGATTGTGAAATAAACTTTGATGGTAAGTTTATAACCTTTGATGTCAACAGATTGATATGCTATAATGAGTTTTCCTGCACAAAGTGTCTATGTAGGGTTAGTGTTTATATCCCCTTTATTTGTCCTTATTCATATATATAACTGACCCAATTTGCCCCATTTTCACACAAGATGTTGGCATCATTCTTTCACAAAAATTAAAGGAAACAATTGTGTTCAGTATTGTGAAGTATGTGTGTAATGTTTTCTCTGGCTAGTGCCCGTCTTACGTCACGAAATAAACAAAAATAGATGTAATCTGTTGTACAGTGACACTGTAGTAGTTTTAGGACTCTGTGATCATTTCCTTTGCTCTATAATTCCATCGTGTTGTCTTTATGTACTGAGATTTGACATTATATTATTTAGCCAGTTATTGTCCGTATGTTTTGTATATTCACTGATGAAGGGAAGTCACTCCGCCATCACAATGATTGACTGTCAATGTGTCTTTGTCTCATTTAGTTGAATGACATCTTAAAATACTTATCCAGGTTTTGAACTAGATAGTGCCCATATTGCATAGATTTTCATTTGTAAATTTATACAAAATATTTCGATGCAGTAGTGTGTACGTTTCTAGCTAATTAATGGTATATTGAAAGAAGAAATGGGAGGTACGTTTAGAAGCGTGAAGCATTTACAGAATCCATGGTTTTATGTTGTCAACTTCCATGTTGCTTGATAATCAATTGAATTGTACACATTTAAAAGTGTATCTGGAAGTTAACTGACAGGTTTTGCATATTTGAATATAAATGAGACAAACATGCTTACTTGTAATTATTTGGCTGTGCTATAAATGTGATTTGCCTTTGTTTTTAAGATGTCACTCATCTATATTTCCTTCACTACCACTCTTTGACGCTTATCATTTGCTCATTGTTAAATGTTGATGTTTCCAGAGGTAAAACTAACCCACTTCTGGTGACACTGACTCTATTAACCTGTTTTTGTTAATTGCTTGGTAACGTCTGTGTCTGTATCAGATGGTACAATAGTATGCCAACTGTACGTCTAATTTTATGTAGGGCAAAAAAAAACTAATTATGAATATTTTCATTTACTTCAAGCAGATGATTATATTATTCTTGTGTAATATACGAAACAAATGAAATAAATATGTATGATGGATTTTGAATTATTGTTTTACCAGGCTGATGATTGTAATGCTACAATCACTTCTTCTATAGGCGATATAGAAAGCTGTAACATTCTAAATGAAATGAATGAGGTCAATGCTCATTAACAAAGTCATTACAGGTTCATTCATTGAAACTCTGGTGATTGTATACCTACTATATTATATACTAGTATACTGTCCTATTTCTGTATTCAGAGTAAAACTCTCCATATGCTTAACTATATCAATTCTATACAAGTATTTAAACCAGACCGTTAACACTGTGGTAGGAGAATGAGTATTTAATAAATAATTGTACAATAACTAATTGGCATCAACATTAGTATGACAGGAAGCAGACACGTATTTCATGTGTGTTTGTCAAGGCCATCCATAGTCTGCTTCAGCTGAAGACTTACCAATATGTTGTCCAAGGTAAAAAAGTGAGAGAAACAGAGGGCCAACACAACTATAATTCGAACTCGAAATTGATAAAACGAGTATCCTGTTGACGTAAGATTACAAACGCCATGGAACTGTCATGGACCACGCGTTCCGTCTGTACATACACTTACTACAGGACATAGCATGCACGTTTAGTTGCTGAAAGGGCCGGTTTCCAAAACGGCCCCTTCTCTGATTCAAATTTCCTGTTGGTGGTGCATTGCCCATGCCGTTGTGGTTACAAATCTATAAAGTATAAAGATTTAGGTCACTTGGTTTGTTTTTTTATGGCTCCTCAAAGTTGTACCTTTCAGAAGCTGTCTAAGTGTTGATAAAATGTGCATGTTATGTAAAATATTAATGAAAATCTAATC